TTGTTAAATATTTTGTAAATGTTGTTTCCTATTTTATGGTACGATGTGGTATGCTTGATTGGTATATAAACAAAGTATGTTTGAAATATAATGATTGATATCTCAGAGGCTGTGACTTGTGTTCTAGACTCAACTTGCTGGGACAGACTGCGAAGCAGGGCCAGTCAGGGCACTAGGTCGTCCACTACGTGTTTACGTGTCCACTGTCACAGAAGCGATCGATAAAACGCTGCTGATCAAAACCTGCAGTCCCACACGTTACAACAATTTCAATATGAACGACACGAAGTACTTGATTTGAGGGATGTACCGCTCCACGTAATGGGACAGGGACGGAAATTCTTGAAACTAATAATGTTTATTGAGAAATGAGTGGTTTCTAATTGAGGATATCTGTGTCCGCCTATCAGTGTGAAGTAGCTACCATGACACATTCATACTCGTGGAATGCCCTTTCTGCCTAAGCGATCATAGCTCCACCCAGTGGATAGCTCCGAGAAGACACTTCCAATGGCCTTCTAATGTCTGACTCTAGGTGGGTCGTACGAATGACTGTTATCGAATTATACGTCGCAAGTCCTCGTATATAGTCATCGAATTAAATCGCTCAAGCGAATAACGGAATTAAACAAATCAGATGTGGGAATGGGTTTTTGAATACGTATATTTCGTACACTCATTGATCTAAGCAGACTATCAGAAGGGCGGAGCGAGGAGAAGAGAGCGAAGCGAAATGACGTGCAATGGAGTAGGCCTGTGAGCCAACTCAACTTAACGAGGCGTGAATCGTTATTTGTAGTCACAGACACGTGATGAATAGAATAAAAGTGCACACACGTACGCTCATATAAAAATAGTCTAGGTTGGTAAGTGAATAATTAACAAGATCAAAATGTGACTCAAGGAGAATGAGTAAATTGGCCTGTTCAGTAGCTAGAGTAGGCTATGTGGGTTTAATATAGTAACCGACACTACATACTTAACAAACACATACTCACGTGGATTACCGCCCCCCTCTTGAGCCAGCTGTGACTAATGCACATCTGACAATTTAACACTGTAATAACTACCCCATATCAGCGACTACTTTCTGTTCCTCTTGTTATTATCTCTGCCTCCCCTCCTATTCCTTCAGTCCCGTCTTCTTATGCATTACCAATTAAGTAAGTCATTTATTTATTCTCGAAAGACTTGTAGCATGGAGTCGTGTCGCGATTGGCTATGAACACCACTACAAGAAGACTACGTGCCAGTTAACCGATAAAATCTCCCGTAAGCCAACTATCAGAAGGTAGTTGATGGCTGTAGTCGAAATGTATTTGTTGGCGATCTCGTGGCATCGACAGGATACAGAGATCGTGCCAAAGGAGTACAAGCGTGGTTACCGAGCGTAACCAAACCCGTGCAAGGTCACAATCGAAAGGTAATGGAGCAGTAATATGGCTGTCCTTAGTACAGTTAAACAAACGAGCACAGTAAAACAATCACTGGTACAATTAGTTATAATAATGATTGGTTCCATTGAATCAATCCCGTTCTCTTGATAAAAGTAAGCCACTACACACTCTGCTTCCGGTACCTCTGTTATCACTTCATTGTTTTCAAACTGAAACCAACCATTTTGCTTCCCGGTGATGTGGTAGCTCCTGGTATCCAGAAATCCTAATGCCCTGAAACAAGCTCATCCGCTTAAAGTAAAAATCGTGCAAATACACAAATGACTCCTAAACTGACTAGAATTAGTCCAGTGGGTGGGCAGACTACATTTCATTAGTCACTATTAAATACCTGGAACCGTATCGAAATAGCAAGAAGAAAGTGTGAAGATTTATACTGGCGCGTGACAAAGATATTGGGTATGGGATACCATTCCACTTGTGGACTGTCTAGACGATAAAAAAACGTGTAAAGAACAGTGCCTACCACCTCGGCAAACCTCATATAGGTGGGCTACCTGTCCATTCACGTAAGGCTCATACAGACAAACAGGAAGAAGCTCACGCGTTTCAAATTGAAAGCATAATCTGCTTATATATGAACGCCGCGAGTCTACCAAACAAATTGGATAAACTACGTGAACTTAGCAATGCTAATAAGGCTCATCTGATAAGAATATTTGAAACCTGGATATCTTCTCAGTTCTCGGACCATGAGTTAGCATTACCTGGGATGTCTTTGTTCCGCAATGACAGAAAATCAGGATTTGGGGGCGGAGTAGCTGTTTACATACGTTCTTGCTTGAAGGTGCATCAAGTTCATAACCTCGAGTTTAGCAATCTTGAGGAATCTATACGGTGCTCTGTAAGATTGTCTGGTACTTCGAGGTGTCTAGTTGGTGTCATTTATAGGAAGCCAACTGCCGACATTGAGTACGATAGTCGTATGCTGGAAGGGCTATCCCGCTCTACTCGTCTCGGTTTCACACACATCCTGATTCTAGGGGACTTTAGTCTCCCTATAGTCAACTTCGCGGAACACACGTATACTGGAGGCGACAACTCAATTGAAGCTCGGTTCTTTAACCTCATCTATGACTTGGGATTGTTCGAAAATGTGAGGTCGGCAACTCGTTGGAGAAACAGTCAGACACCATCGCGCTTAGACTGTGTATTCACAAACGAAGAATTTCTAGTTGAAAACCTCTCAATCCTGGCTCCCCTGGAAAATAGCGATCATGCCGTCATAGCCTTCAGTTTTGTCAGCAAAACTAAGCTAAGATACCCCACCAATAACTCGCGTTGGAATTTTAAACGGTTGAATGTGCCAGCTCTACACGACTATCTACAACAGGTGGTTTGGGATGTTCACCCCCAACTCGACGTGGATGGTCATTGGGACTTCTTACTGCACACGCTCTTACGTGCTTCAAACCATTCAGTTCCTCAAACGGTTCCCAAACGCTGCAAGCTACCTACAATAATAAAGAACCGTACCCTTCGCCTGCTAAGCCGCAAAAGGAACTGTCGGGCGGAATACAAACGAACTGATAACGGCGGAGCGTACAGGCAATATAAAAATATCAGGAACATATGCACGAAGGCTATAAGAGAAGATAGGCTTCAGTGCCGGACAAAGCTTATGGACAAATTTTCCTCCAATCCTAAAAGCTTATTCCGTATGCAGCCTTTCTTCATCAAGCCAAAACTGGAGTTTCCCAACTGGTAGGTCTTAACGGCCCGACCAACAACGATGGCAACGCCGCTAACCTTCTGGCTGAACAATAATCCCAGACATTTCAATCGGCCGACATAAACGTTACTGATGACAGTTTCATCTGCGATTCCACAGAACTTTCCGAAGTGAACCTAAGCGCTGACTTGGTGTTCCGGAAACTGCAGCACTTAAGACCAGACACTTCTCCTGGCCCGGATATGGTCCATTCCGCCATACTGAGGGAAGCAGCCTCAATCTTGTCAACGCTGCTTAGCGTGATGTTCTCACACTCGCTAAGTCGAGGAAAACTACCGGAAAATTGGAAGCTGGCTCACATCACACCAATTTTCAAAGGAGGTCGACGCAGCAAACCTTCAGGTCACCGACTGGTGGCTCTTCTCTCAATACCTCCAAAAATCGTGGAGTCCCTGATATGCGATGGTATAAATGACTATTTACTGTCCTTAAATTTCTTCTCACCCCAACAGCATGGTTTCAGGAAGGGTTACTCTTGTATAACCAACCTGCTGACTGCGGTGGACAGATGGACAAGCATCCTTGATCACAAGGGGAAGGTTGATATCAGCTACCTAGATTTCTCAAAAGCTTTTAATAAGGTTAACCATACATGTCTTATCAATAAGCTCAAACGATTGGGTATCAGACCACCTCTAATCGATTGGCTCACTTCATACCTGAAAAATCGACATTTTAAGGTCAGTGTTAATCTCACTTTATCTCAGGCTATGGAATGTCCTAGTGGGTCCCCCAATGCTCAGTACTAGGACCTCTTCTTTCCTTGATCTACATAAATGATCTTCCTCAACAGGTAACGTTAGACTTATTACTTTTTGCTGATGACGTAAAACTTTGGAGAGATACGCAACCAAGACGATATACAGGCACTTCAGGAGGATCTGAATCGACTTCAAAGTTGGGCAGACGATAACGGACTTACCTTTAACACTTCAAAGTGTAAAGTAGTCCATCTGCGACATGTCGCAGACTACAGTTATAACTTAGGAAACTCCTCTCTAGTAGTATCCCAAGTCGAAAAAGATTTAGGAGTCCTGGTGCCCTACGATTTGAAGTCTTATGCTAACTGTGGCAAAAATGCCTTTCGATCAAACCTTGGACTGGTAACCTTAAAGCGCATTTTTGGCCAGTTTGATGGAAGAACTTTCCATATAATCTTCAATAGTTTTATCCGTCCCCATTTAGAGTACGGAAACAGTATTTCTCCCCTCACTCCAAAAGGATAAGGACACCTTGGAGCGTATCCAACGGCGAGCCATGAAATCAGTTCGAGGACTCAAATTTAAACCTTACGAAGAGCGCCTCCATTCACTTAGCCTTTACCCATTAGAGTATGGACGTCTTCGAGGTGACTTTGTGATGGCTTACAGTATCCTTAACACTTCTGGACATCCTTTCAAACACCTACTTAAGCTTAGTTCCAACACTAACCTAAGAGGTAATACCCAAAAACTGGAGACACAACATAGCAGAACGGACTGTAGACACAACTTCTACTCCTTAAGAGTTGTCAAATGCTGGAATTTACTGCCGGCCGAGCTAGTCCAAGCAACTTCCCAGGAGTCCTTTAAGAGGCAACTTGATCTATTCTTAAGGACTAAGGATAGTATCATACTATGATTTACTAATTTCTTTTCCTCTTTTATTGTCAACATACCTAGGTCCCTGTCTTGAGGATTTGGTGATCCCCTGCTACTAGACACCGAAGCCTGTTAAGCGAAAGCTTCTTCTATTCCGTCTACAACCATTTGAACCATTTGAATTAGTTGGTTTGAAGGTCACTGGGGGGCGCGTGGTTGGTCCTGTCGTCAATGGGTATTGGTTCGTTTGTTTTGAATATCTCGTAATGAACGGTAACTAGAAGCTTTAGTTAGTTCCGCAGATGAAAACACCGATGAGGCTACCCAAGCTCAACAGGAAGCGATCGAAAGAGATGTAATTTTGCCGAATAATATCAAGTTTGTGCTATAGATGAAGTCTACATGTCTACTTTCTGGAATTCTTCCACTTTCAACACTTGATGAGGACTTCACTGGTCATTTAGTTTACTTGGAAAAATTAAAGGTTAGATATCTTGTGAAATTCTTAGTGAATTCATAAAGTGACCTAGAAAACAAAAGCCCATCTGTTTTTTTTTATTAAGGACTGCCTATTACGTTTCTTAAATATAGGAAGCGCAGCTCGATGGCTTCGATTGCATTTAACCGTTTGAACTCGTTTCAGAAAGCTCTGCTTCAAGCAATATCGCGTCCGTGTGTCTAATAAGTATTACTTATTGGTTCGTATTTTTCGATTTGACTACAATCGCGGGTTAGAGAGAACGAAGGTTTACGCTAGTCATCTTCTAGTATAAATATAGTAAAAACTAGCCTTTCAAAGCCATCTGCTACGGTTTCAGTGCGGTATGGCATTAATGGTAATAGGTTCATTATTGAATAAACTTCACTGATGGGTATATTATAGGTGTTATTCGGCTTATCAATGTAGCGCACTACAGTTCCACATTAGTTGTGATTGTTAAGTACTTTAAAAACTACGTTACCTTTAAGGCAACTAAAGATGGAACTCACATAAATTAGGTTTTAATATAAATAATATTCCCACTTAACAGTCCTCAAGTCTTTCAACGAGATATATTATTTGTTTTTCGTTTAATTTAAGGTAATTGTTAATGAAAACAAATAAATTAGTAGGCTAATCAACATAATCTTCTTACTGCGTATTTCCGTAACCCAGTGGTCTACTCCTCTTACCCATTTGTTTTACCTTTATCAACAAGCTTGTGCCATATTTTTGTGGACAATAAAACTAAAGCCATTTTAGCGTGTTTGCTCGGATCAGTATCTTCATTACACCATTCACAGGTCCAGTGGTGTTGCTAGTTGCACGTTGGCACTCTTTCATACTTAAGTACAACATTAAAAACATACTTTGTGTTCACCGTATGTCATAATATATTTGTAAGTCATTTTTAACCTAAAATAGCCCTGATTTGAAGGTGTCATACTATTCGGATAAAATAGCAGAGTATTTTAATAGTCAGATATTAATAGTATAGGAAAAATGTAAATGTATACTTTTCTAGTTAAAAATCAACTTAGTTTATTTTTTTGTTTTGGACGGTTCGTTGACAAAAATGCGATGATGTAATTTTAAGACTGCGAATCCAGTGTTCATCTTGCTGTGCTAATGAGGTATGGCAACCTGGGCCGATGCATACATGTGCCTGTCCTACGTTGTAGCTGAATGACTGACTGAGTTGTTACAGGAACGACGTGAATCCTTTTTAAAGATAGGGAAAAACTATCGACTCATTCCATGACGTTGGTACACTCTCTAGCTCCCAGACCTTTGTAAACAACGTCGTCAGTTCCTTAGCCAGAAAGTCACTACCATCTTTATAAAGGGCCGGAGGTAGGTCATCTGGGCCCGGTGGTTTGTAGCGCTTCAAGAGTTGGAGTCCCTTGCGGACCTCCGTCTCATTTGGTGGATCAGTCGTCACTGGCCATGTAGGGCAGGAAAGTCTGACCGATGTTGCTGGAGCAGCAGGCCAGTTGAACTGCCCTTCGAAGAATTCTGCCCATCGTTCAAGACGTCGATGGATGTTAGTGATTGCCGGAGATGACAAAAAGACATCGTTTCTCACGCCGATTTCTTCTCACTTTGACGGAACTTTCTAGTCTAACAGCACATAACCGACTGTTAATGGGGATCCAATCGATTAGTGCTGCTTCAGCTCTAGCACTCAGTGCGACACCAACGCCAGAAAGACTAGACGAAGATGCCACAGGGTCCCTGGATAAGCGCACGTTAAAACAAGCTTTTCGAAGCGACAGATGGAGAGCGAATTTGCAGTACTTCATCAGAGTCTTGAATACGGGTCCTCGGATAGAGAAAAAAACGTCAATATTAAGACTTTCCAAAGACACCTAAATAGAGACCACTAAGCAAGCTGAAATCTATTAGGTGAGTTTGAATTTTTACCACTAAGATTGACAAGTAAATGATTATTTACCCAGCTAGCAACAGTATCTCCGTTCTTTTGTTCGGTGAAGTTAGTGAAGAATGTGTATACAAATAGGGCGTAGTTGTGTGTTCAGTAGGCTTTGTTTATTGGTGTGTAACAGAGTTTTTTCCTTAATTTCCAACAGCTTATGAAACAAAATTACCGAGGGATTCGTCGACTTCGACGTGATGGAAACTGCTTTTATCGAGCATTTGGTTTTGCGTATATTGAGTACCTGCTAAATGGCAAGCTAATTAAAGAAGCTGGGAGGTTTGTTGATTTTTGTACTTTCGTATGCTTCATGTTGTGTCACTTAATTTCCTAACCATACTTAAGTTACAACTCTGTATGATCAGATTTTTCGTCAATCTTTGCTACTGTACGTAATTTATTTGTTTCAATTTCAGAATGATAGATGACTTGCTAAGTGAATTTCACTCTTCATTCACAAACCACTATTTGTAAACACCGTTTAACACAATTCTTTCTTAAATAGACTAAGCGTAAATCAATAAACTCAAATGATCCTCAATGATAGGTTTTGCACTGGTCCACTGCCGGTCTGGATTCTCACGCGATAGAAGTTTAATATTGGAATTTGTCTTTTGAAATGGTTCCCAAAATAAATCGAATTACCTTAGTGGTAAGGCATCCAACCCACTTCAAAGAAACCCGAAATACTGGTCAACGGGATTGCCGTAGTTACTTTATAATAAAACCTATATATAAAGGTGGTTGTATGATATTTTTAAAGATAATCGTTATATCACTCTTTAATTAGTTGCACCTAAATATTATCATACTTTTAAATTGTTTACAATATGGAAACGACACAAGTGCATTTAATTTGACGATACATCGTGTTTTAACTTCTTACTATATATTTTGTGATAAATAATTATATTAGGATATTGTTAATTAGTTTTTGTGAAGGGTTCCTGCGAAACTAAGTTATATATGAGTTTTTCCGGGTATAATAATATCCATTGTCCCGTAATATCTTAAGAGTGCTATAGAAAATTACATCAAAGGTGTTCGGTATCTATTTATGTTAGTTTATCGTTTCTCATAATTCTTTTTACTTTTAACAAAATCTAGTGTAATTTATATTTATGTTCATCACTGAATCTACGGAGGGTTCTCGACCTTGATATGTCGGAAATATTTTGTGTATGTCACCATAGTTTATTCTATTTTGAACTTTGTTTACTGATACAGTCTAAAGGTTTGTGATATGATACCACTGAGTAAAGGTTAATTTTGTCGGGTTGCCCCTGTAAACTCATCATGAGTTCCTAACCGAGATTCTAGAAAAGTGTGAAATTTGATATCCAGATGTTAACGAATTTGGCTTCGTATCAAAGTTGCAAACAATTATGCTGAAACGTCATTTTCTTACCCACGTATAAATGATATATATTATGTGTATTAGTTTCCCTAAATCTCCATGGTTTTGCTACTTTATCGTTTTTTTTAGTGTAGCGTCTCTGTTTTACCAAAACGCTATTAAACGAAATAGTTTTTTCTGGTAAAATATTCCAACTCCTGTAACTTTTCCAAGTTTGAATCACCTCTTGCCATTTCTGTTCTAGGCAGCCGGGTATCATCTTCAATTGTCATATAACAAGTTTGACTCAAGTCAATGAACGAAAGTGTGTGGTCACCGTAACTAATCTAATTAGAATTATTTCCAATTCACTTTATTTATTATTAGATATTAAGAGGAATCATTAGAAAACTTACGGGTTTTCAGAGTAATGTACATATATTTATATGAAAACATTTTTCTTGTGAGAATTCGAAATTATGATCAAAAGCAGTATTGCTGATCCGAATTGATTGTAATTGGTCCTATATGGAACCGAATATGTAGATGATTTTTCCTCCCAGTCCTAACAAAACCTATGGTACTATTTACACAAATCAATTTTGATGTATTCGATTAGGAACGTGTGAAATTGCGGTGGGGAACGGTACAGATTCTGTCTAGGAGAATACATGCTTCATTGAGATTCCATATGTATCTGTCTGATGAGTCTCGACAGACATGAGAACTAGGTTTAGGACTTCTTGCCCACAACTTCTAATAATCTTACTCCAAATTGAATTTCATATCACACCTTGGATGAGTTGATTTTATCCTTTTTTAGATTCAAGAAAAAGTGTGATGAGTGTAAGGATACACTGATTGCTAATGGTTATACACAGTTTACTGTAGAGGATTTTCATGAACAGGTAGGTAATTATTAATTATCTTTTTTTTATTCCTCAAAAGTACTTTCATGCAAGTGTTTTAATTACGTTTTCCTATATTTGATCCTTTTGGGCATAAAAGCACTTAGTATACACTAGCACCAAAATAAATCCATGATGATAACTTTGAATTTATCAATAAAATAAAAATGTATATCAACTCAGAACCTTGCACAGAAGTGCACATGTCTTAAGCTAGCTCACTACATAACAGTAGGAAATAATAAAACCAAGGTAATGAAAGAATTGGAAGGATATTGCTAGCAATAAATAAGAATAAAAAAAACAAATACTAAATAGACTCCACTTGATTAAGTAATTAATTTAACTCGTTTACCAATTGCGGGTTTTTGTACTTCGCTTTGAGCCACACTTTTAGACTACACTCTCAAAAGTGACTACACGGTGGTTCGACGATAGTGTAGCGGTTTCTCAATAGAACAGTAACTTATTCATTGTAATAACGCACAAGTGGTCGATTAAAGTCGGAAATTTATATATAAATACGTATAAATAAATGAAGGTTTCTACAGTAAATAATTATCAGTTTAAAGTACAAACCTACATCCGAGGTGATACAACCAGGAACATTATTAAGTACTCAATATTGACATGTGCACAAATAACCAATTAGATACTACTCGACGGATAAAAATACATTAGCCAATAAGAAAGCAATTAGTTGTTCAATCAATTATTGAAATATAAGATAGAAACAGTGCAAAACACCAACCACCCAAGTAATATTACTATGATACGTAAATCTTATATCCAGGTCCATCTTTAACAACCGTTTTGCAGCCGAAAAATGGACGAATTAGTACTGTGTACACTCACTCTTTGATAACTAGTCTGATATATTTCAATCGATGTAGTTGGAGAGGTTAGCAAATATCGAATACACCCACAACTAAGATATTTTTCGTGTAATTAGTTCCCTGTTAGGATTTGAATAAAGCAAAAAAAATTAAGACGGAGTAATGTGAATTCGTTATATTTCGTGGCTTCTCATCAGCTGCTTACAATCATATGTATATTGAAAGATAACATCGTGGTATGGTATGATGTGAAACAATTGACATAGATGACGAAAAGAATTGGAATGACAAAGGTTATCAATAATAACTATATACAGATATGTGCAAGAACAAATTAGAGGTCATTTGGAGATGGAATTCAAAACATAGGGGGTGGGTGGATGGTTCATCAACTAAATGAGGTCCGGAGACAGATGAGATAGATTGTGTGATAACTTTAGAATTTGTGAAGGGTTTACATAAGATTACTAGATTTTGAAATTGATAAGATGGGTTACGTGATAATTGAACAGGATTTGAAGAGTTTATTTAAGTTAAAAGAATCAAGTAAATGAAAATGTATGAGTGAAGGGATGGTTTTAGTGTACATAAAGTAAGAATTAGTTAAGAGAAGACCTCATAACAAAATGAACACTAATAAAATAATGATAATAACAAACTTAACCAAGGTAGTGATAAGTTTATTGCTAGTGCTTTCAGAAACCCGAGAGACACTGTATTTTCTTGTCTGCTAATAATTTCGAAGGTTAGGTGAATGTCAATAGTATGCCTGGTGAATTCAATGCCGATCTATTGCACTATTTAGAGCCGTTGCGTCTTTCAGTTTCAAATTCTTTGGAATGTGCTTGGAAATGCGAACATGTACTCTTCTTTCCGTTCTTTCAATATGTGTTTAGGCACGTGCATGTAAATTGGTAAATGTTCACTCAAACAAACAAAAATTGACAGGCGCTCTTTTCTTAATGCCTCCAACTACATTTACCTTTTTTTCTCATAAACAAGTGTTTTAAAGTGTTCTATTTATTCTGTATATAATGTAATTCATTTTCCAAGTATGAATATGAACTTTTGACTACATTTTAATTATGCGAGCTAATTGAAACTACCTGGTTATACCAGACTAAAGTAACTAGTAATTCAAGGCTCGAACTTGTTTACCTTACTAGATGGAAGGTGAGTGCCTCAATTGCTAAGTCACCATTGCACCAGTGTTTTACTGGTTAAAGTAGTTCTTATTTTTAAATTTATAGATGAATATATTTACTAGTTATTCCATACAGAATAAATACATTGTATCAATTTCTATTAAGTGGATAAATTATATATTTATTAAATATTAAGCATAAATCTCTTTGTTTACTTTCTTTTATGTTCTTACTGTCTTTGTATACTTCTCTTTATAATAAATATCAGTTCGTTGGAATGGTGGATCGGTTTACTGTTGATGGTGGCACATTGGAAGAATTAGAAGAAGTTTTTAACGATCAGGCATATTCAGATTATTATGTCGTGTTTTTACGGTTAGCTATTCTGTACTTTTTCCTATAGAATTGTTTCTTCTTAGATGGCAGGAAATACATTTGTGACTTAATATTGTTGCGTTGTTTAAGCTAGGTGTTTCAATTGAAAAGTTATTTTTTGTTTTAAAAAAGATCATCATGAATTTTAGCAAGGTAATATTAAAGTGTGAATGTTTTGTATTTTCTCCACAACTTTCACATCGTTATGTTTAAATCGCTGGACATTTGATTTTCCTCATGTACTAACTTGTTCATTTGGTCTGGAATCATGTAAGGCTGAGTGGTGATTTTTAATTATTGATGAAATGCTTCAAGGTCAACTACTGCACATAATTCATTTAAACAAATTCATATGAAATTGAAATACTCGATGAAAATACGTTGACTTTCTATGAATTATCAAATTTTTTATGGATAAGATCAATGATATGCATTTAGACAAAGATAAATTAGTGAAAAATTTTCATCTCTCTGTTTTATTCGTTTCAGTAGTACTACGAATTTATAAGTATACTTTGTTTCAAGTACTCAGCGAGAAATAATACTTCTCAGTACGTACATACATTATTTACTGTTAATAGTCATTATGCTACTTGTATAGTAGAGCAAAGCGTATTAATTCATTTCGTATTCGATTTTAACTTAGCATTTATTTATATTGTTAATATTACATGTGGAATAAATAAGCTTTCTGATACTGGTAAGAAATGTGCAGCCCCCCAACCACTATCACCCATTACTGAGTCGCATTCGTGACATTCGAATTTCGCAATGAACATGATAACATTAAGTCAAAATTTAATAATTTATATCTAACTTTATTCATTCTATTTTCATCTTATTTATTACTAATTTGATTTAATTTTGAATTGTTATGCTTTTAGACTCTTAGTTTCTGCGTACATTCAAAAAAAGCTGGGTATTTTGTAAATTTTATTGATGAAGGTAAAACAATCAATCAGTTTTGTGAAACAGTAAGTTAATAAATCATAGATATTTTTAAATCTGTTGTCGTTATTGTTGTTGTTCTTCTTCTTCTTATGGATTACAAGTGATTAATTTCAAAAAAGGATATAATAATATCGATAGCATTTAGCCTCGAGATTGTAATTAATTATAGTGAACGAATAATTTTTAAAATAATATAATCAGAAGTGGAATTATTAAGATGAATTACTCGTAGAAAAACAATAAATCAATTGAGAGAACACATTAGGTTTATGGATACTGTTTAAAAGTTCATCAGAGAGGAGTGAGTAACCTACAAAATTGATATGAAAATGATAAGAAAGTATTTTATCTTCCTATATCAGTTGATTTAGAGGCTTACATGTCAGTAATTCGTTCTTGAGAGCAGCCACCCAGTCAGCCACAAAGTATCATTGGATATTATCAATCGAACAGCGTTATATCGATTAGTCGAACAATGCATAAGCGTCATTCCTCACTACAAATCATAACTTATGATTTTTTTAAACATAATATGGACATTATGGACGGATAATTGTAATATATCTACTCCACTAAAAATAACAAACATTTGTACGTATTTTTACTTAATCATATCCTAATTGTTCATTGGAGAATTCAAACCCATTCCTAGTAATCTCTAATATAATCAATTTAACACATCGATGTAGTCACTAATATGTCAAAAGTTGTATACACTTTGTATCAATTATTTCAAATTTGATCCTCCTTACATAGTGTTCCCATCACATTTCAACAATCTGTCAAAGGGTATTTTAAACTGTATATTTAATATTCGATGGGCAATTACAAGTCTTGTCAATACTACAGGTTAGACATATTGACAACTGTAAATTGAATGAATGTTTAGTGTGCACTTCAATATTAATTTTTCTACTAATTTGATACGATGTGTTAATCTTAATATTCTCATGCACAAAAAAACAGCTTGTTATAGATAATTTAATATTCTTATATGGTTAATTAACCTTAAAAAATGGATTTACCGTGTGAAGTTCCATTTAATTTATAATTTGTACAGAGGTAGCCTAGTTGTTAAGTATAACGGTATCTTAATGATGAAAACATTCGGTCCCAATTTTAGATTCTGCCTATGCCCACTTGGGCTTGGGCAACTAATTGATATCACTAGCAATCACACTTTAAATGTGATCTAAAGGTTGGTAGGATTCATTATTATTAGTTCTACTATTATTATTTAAATTAGTTTGTCGGCTTTCTGTTGATACCTTTTCACTCTTGCGCAGATTCGTGTATATGAATTTTGCATAAGATTGTAATCAACACTAGATTTTAAGACTTTTTTGTAATACGATCTACTGTCTGACTTAGCTATTAACGCTTGATCAATAAAAATTAATCTTCACAAAGAGTTCTGTTTACTGAACAATAATACATGTAACTTATGCTTATTTACAATTAGTGTACATATAGACAATAAATTTTGACTTATTTTGGTAATCCTCGTATTTTCTATAACTCATTAGCATTCCGAGTTCACTGATCATGCAACCTTGATATATCTTATAGCTTAAGAAATTGTACATATTTCATCTTATCTCTGAAATGATTGTAAATGAATTCAGAAAATAACTGTTATTTGTTATGAAATCGCGACCAATTTAATGGTTTAGTGAATATTCTTTTCAATGAATTTCTCATCAGGTTCTACAATTCATAAATCTAAATTAATAATCCATAAAATTGGTCAGATTTAAGGCAGAGTAAATCATTTGGAAATTGTAATATATTAATTGAGAATTGTTGTTTGTTATATGAAATCAACTCAGCTCGTTAATGTTGGGGCTGTTTAATATAAAGTGTTAACTTGAATCAGTTTATAGGTGAAATGAAATTGTGCGATAAAGGATCAGAATAAATATGGTCAAAATGGGGTGAGAGAGGAAATAATGTAATTACAAATCAGAAATTACGTAATATGTAGAATAATATGAATTAGGTCAGATATAGTAGATAGGGGTGGATATTGAATTAATTCCTCAGAAATGTTATCAAGTGTAATGATAATAATGACAATAGTAAGATGTGTGGCTAAGTTTGGGACATAAAAATGAATATTAATCAAATTACATCACCATATTATAAAATTGATTATTAACTAGTTGGTCAGGGTAAAAGAAGCGACTGAACATATTTCTTTTGGATGCAAAGCTCTGACTTTTTGATCCGAATAGCAATTTCTTCAGCCGTCTGTAGGATTCGCAGTCTGACGGAATTAGGTAGATTGCTGTTAAGACGATATATTATGGTGAAAGATTGCTCCATGTTGGCTGTATGTCCCGCTTGAATTAAAGGGGCTAAAATGGAGTTAACCGGTTTAACTGCACCTTTACTTAACCACACTAAGAGGTACTCACGAGCCCGAATATACAAATTCCTAGAACATCTGCCAATATAATTTGCTTCACAGGAGCAGTTGAATTGATAAATACAGAAAGAAGTGACTAGTCTAGGCAATTTATCTTTCAACCTCTGAGTGATCAAATTACTCTTGAATTCTACCGGCATTTACTATAATAAATATAATCAAGATTTTTCCACAATATATTTTAAATTGTGAATTGAAAAAAACTTCCAATTTTCAAATTACTATATCCAACTTTTAAAATAAAATATTTCTAATATAAAAAACAGGAGGTTGAACCAATGGCTCGTGAATCAGATAATATACATGTGGCTGCTTTAGCATTAGCTGTTGAATTGCCTATTTATGTAGAAAATTGTCAACAGTCGGGTGAATTGAATCGTATCGAGTTTCCTGCATATAGTGATTTAATATTGGATAATGCCGGGGAAACAAGCAGTGATAACCATGATATTCACAGTGAACAAGTATCCAATGAAGATGATTCTTTTATTAATAATTATAAACAGAATAGTAGTTCACCACCAGTTACATTATTGTATAGACCAGGTCATTATGATATATTATATCCTAATTCATGAAAATATTAAAGCAACTGATAAGATCGGAACTGTTAAATTGAATAATACTCTCTGTATCATTGATAATCAACATTACAGTAGGTTTTTATGTTTTGGATGCTACTTTATAATTTAGATTAACTTTCAATGATGATTTTTTTGTTGTTGTGTTTGTCTGTATGTGTTTATGTATTTCTGTAGATTCTTTTCTTTTTTGTAATATGATGCCTTTCACTAAAACAATAATTCAATCGATAGTAAAATATCTTTTTTGAATTGTTTCTTTTGAAGAAATTGCGTAGACTATTTTATTACGTTTTTTGCTTGTTACTCTATAACGACTACTGGACTTCACTTGGTTTGACGTAAATTAGAACAAAGATGTGTCGATGATAAGATATATTTCAAAGGACCGGAACAACTATGTACGGTAATGAAAACGCAAGAAATTACATATAATTTGCATGAGGAACTTTTGGTGTCTTCTTGAGTCATGTACCAAAGCTGAACAGTTAATCATGAATCAGTAAGGATATTTACATTCGATGACTCAATGGCCGTGCAATCATAAGGCTCCTAGCCTCCCAACACCTCCCTTTTGAGGGAATCTGTTGGATCTATGGTCGGCGTTCATTCCTATCAACTCGACTAGGCCGCTCTCGATCTCTTCATCTTTCCCATAGTAAAAAACATAGCTCCTTTTTTGTATGAACCAGAACTGACTCAGTGTTGCTAGTAGTTTTGTCTCGAATGTATTTATGAGAATAGAGAGTCGTATTATATGGTGGTTTTTATTGCTGGAGATAGGTGTTGGTTTTTTAGTAACCTTATAGCTGACTCCAATGAAATCAGACTAATAATCGTTATCGAATGATTGCTGTCGAAATATACATCATGGCTACCTTCGTATATAATCATCAACTTGAATCGCGTCATTGAATAATGGAATTAAATAAATCAAATGCGGAAATGGATTTTTGAATACGTATATTTCGTACAACCGTTGATCGTAAAGCATAGCAAAACACGACACGCAGCGTTGAAAGCATGTGAGCGAACCGAATTTACCCAAGCGTGAATCGATATTTATAGTCATACAAAAATAAGTTACAGGCACATAGTGAGTAGGGTAAGTAATTAACACATACGATCATATAAAGAAGTCAGTATTAATGAGCGAATAAGTGGCAGGGTAAATATGTGGCTTGAGAAGAACCAACAGATTGGTCTCTCCAGAAGCTAAAATAACTTATGTAGGATTGTCATAGTACCAGCCCCTATAATTCCAATCGATTTGCTCATTACACTAAGCTATCAAATCAACTAACATTTCATACATCAATATTGATTTTCACCAGATTCAACCGTCTGACAGCTTATTGTTTTCCACAATAGTTCATAACGAGTACTGTCTGACCAAAATTAAACGGTCCTTTCTGTGCTCCATGGTTTTGGTCGGTTTTCTCCATGTCTGTTTCGATGAAACTAGACTCGGTACGTGACAAATGACTTCTGTAGATATATGCAGTTTTCATCCAACAAAACACCATCTACTGCATTACACTATGTATTACAATAGGTGTACGTAAAACTTTGGGATATTTTCTCCATTTATTCCCATATCTGTGCGGAGCGCATTTGAATGTACCTACAAACCCTTCCACATGTTCATTCGATCAAGGATGGCAGGATGATAGTTGGAATAGATTAACTCTATCCTGTCGACAAAGAAGATTAAGACTAACAGTTATCACCAACTATTGTCTCCAGATACCATAAATAGATGACTATGGAAATTCCTTACGAAGCAATAGATAAATTCCTTACTATAGAATAACATATACTGTCGGAATGGATCTAGAAAAAATATCTTCCATGAAACATAAACACAGACATCAGCAGATAATACTACCGAAAAACGACAAAACACCGCACACTATTTTGTTCCCAAGCTACTGTACGTGCATTCATATAAATATCATGCGTTTACGTGCTGACGCGAATGTAGTGAGAATACAGTATTCTCGACATTATACAAGTGGAACAACTACTCAATATAATAAGCAAAATTTTTACCTACAATCCCTCGGAAGACATTGTAGTATGTCGAGTAAGGAAGATCGGACTATGAGTAAATAAATGAGAGCAACAGGTACATAAATATTAAATACTGTAGACAGGATATCTGGAGCCGTGAATTCATGCGTGGTTAATATTTTCTAGACCGGGGTACCTAGCCTGTCGTATGCCCTGATGGTGTTCTCGTAACTTTCGGGTTGCCTGATCTGCCAAGGGCGATGGGAGAGTGCATGACGCTATTGTTGTGTGCTAGGTTCAAAGAGAATTGTATGCTATATGCATGCGAATCCGCCACGTTATTGTTCCTATTACAAACTTTTACGCTCTCCCAACTGAGCTATTCCGGCGACGTAGGTTCGCACAATCACATCTATTCACACTCAAAAGCATATCTTCATCCAGCATACGCACACACTACACGCCAAATCCAATATCAACATCAAAATTCTAACTAACAGACAAACACCAACAACAAGCACACCAGTTCATAGAACAATCGTCAACAATACGCGTCCTACAACACCAACACGGCATCCAACCACACTGATCAAACAACCAATATATATTTCTCAACACATACTTCCAGCAGTCAGTTCACCTGATCCATTCACACATTGGAATGAGAAGACGAAGTATGTCACCATCTCATCCCACCCCACTTGCACAAAACAATCAACACTGTCTGCTTTCGCACAACTCTTCAAGCAATATTGAAACAGAGTTCACATATCAGTAGTCGGGCAGATATGCACGTCACGGTGATCATCATAACAACAATAATGATCGTGTGAATAATAAATAATATTGTTGGTATCATTCAGTACTGTATGATTAGACAAAGTTGACGAGTGCTCAGCAACTGTGTTCAACACAAGGTTGGAGTGTGTTTGACTGAATGGATGCATGAATGAATGTACGTATGACTGATATGACCACACTCATCCGATCTGTTTGGATTGTAGGGATCGGACGTTCCGAATGGTTGATAGAGAGACTCCGGATTGATTGATGAGTCAGATTTGTCCATATGTTTTGCAACGGCTCACTGTGTCTTACCTCACCTTCTCCACATTCACAAATCGAGGAATGAGTCGAGGAGAATTGAATTGTTCGAAGTTTCAGTGTAAATTCCCATGACAGGTTGTTTGTTTGTTTGTCGGTTGAGACGTGCTGAGGCGAGCATGTGTGTGTGTGTGAATCGTAGCCTGATCTGCCAAGGGCGATGGGACAGTGCATGACGCTATTGTTGTGTGCTAGGTTCAAAGAGAATTGTATGCTATATGCATGCAAATCCGCCCCGTTATTGTTCCTATTTCAAACTTTTACACTGTTGAAGCGATCCGGTTTGGCTTGCCATTCACGGGTTTGCTGCCTGGCATGCACCTGGCTTCGTGCTGGACTGCATGTACGCTGGCTTAGCGGTAAATATCCTAGGCTGCAGCGTTAACCATTAGTTCTATGCATTTGGGAAACCATTGTATGGGATTATTGGCGTACAACTTTGAGCGGTGGATCACTCGGCTCGTGTGTCGATGAAGAGTGCAGCCAACTGTGTGAATTAATGTGAACTGCATACTGCTTTGAACATCGACATCTTGAACGCATATTGCGGCTACGGGATATCCTGTGGCCACGCCTGTCCGAGGGTCGGCTTTTCATCTATCACGGCGCACATTGAGTCGTGGATTGGGCGAGTGCCTGCCGGCGTGTATACCCGCATATCAACGCGGGTTGCTGGTCAAAGGCTCCGTCCTAATAGTCCGGCCACAGCCTAGTCCGGTCTAGATGACTTGATTGAGATGCTGCGGTGGGTTGTGCTCGAGTCGTGGCTTAATGACATTATACACGCTCGGGAAGAATCGCACCTATCGTATACTACGTTGGTCACTTGATCTTGTCTCTATGGTTCGGTCTGTGGTTTGTACCGATGGTGTGTGTATTACGCACAAATTGTATAATTGACCCTGACCTCGGATCAGACGTGATTACCCGCTGAACTTAAGCATATCACTAAGCGGAGGAAAAGAAACTAACAAGGATTCCCCTAGTAACTGCGAGTGAACAGGGATTAGCCCAACACCGAAGCCTGCGGTTAATTGATCGTGAGGCAATGTGGTGTTTAGGTTGGCTTCAGACATTACTGCTCTGCCCCAAGTCCAGCAATGAGTACGGCTTCCCATTCTGGCCCAGAGAGGGTGAAAGGCCCGTGGGGGTAGAGATCAAGTGTGACAGTTCTGTTCTGAGCTACCCTTGGAGTCGGGTTGTTTGTGAATGCAGCCCAAAGTGGGTGGTAGACTCCATCCAAGGCTAAATACTTACACGAGTCCGATAGCAAACAAGTACCGTGAGGGAAAGTTGAAAAGTACTTTGAAGAGAGAGTAAACAGTGCGTGAAACCGCTCAAAGGTAAACAGGTGGAGTTGAACTGCAAGCTCTGGGAATTCAGCTGATGAGTGTGATTTGTGCTTGGGCATACTGGCCGCCTTTAGTGTCTGTTTAACCGCAGGTGCCTGCCTTTTCGGTGGGTATGTGTGAATCGTTTACATACGACGCACGCACTGTTGGTGTGAGGGTCTGCTTGTCAGTGCACTTTCTCAGAGTGTTCACCACGACCGGCACTGCTGCCTGTCTGCTATGGCCAAACTGATCAGGTCTGATTTCCGTCAGTCTTGGTTGGGTCGGCAGGTGACTCTTTGGCTCATCTATGGGCTGTGAGTGTTACTAGCCGGCTGTAGCGGAGCTGTGCGGTGTGTCGGAGATGGCGGCTTTGCATGCGTGCCTAGACCTTCGGGCTTTGTTGAGTCTGGTCGGCTCGTTACTAGCTTCGGCTGGTCGGCTGATGGCTTGATTTTGTCACGTTGGCGGTTGCGTGTGTGATTTGCTTTGGGCCAATAGTCTGTGGTGTAGTGGTAGACGATCCACCTGACCCGTCTTGAAACACGG